AATGGAAATTCCTCCATAAACTTACACTAGAAATTCCATTTGATTCAGCTATACCTCTTCTGGGAATCTTCCCAAAAGTTTTAAAGAGATCATATTAGAGTGGTACAGATGTACCCATGTTTATAATAGTATATATATCATAGTACTACTTTCCATAAAGAAGGGTAAGTTTCAGTCATGTGTAGGAAAATGGATGCATCTTGAGACCATAATTCTAAGTGAAATTAATCAGATACAGAAAGTTAAATATTGTGTGGTTTCTCTAATATTGGAAAACCAAAATAAAAATAATTTAGAGAACAAAATAAAAGGGAGATGGTAGGAAACAGGAAGGTTATCATAGTACTACTTTCCATAAAGAAGGGTAAGTTTCAGTCATGTGTAGGAAAATGGATGCATCTTGAGACCATAATTCTAAGTGAAATTAATCAGATACAGAAAGTTAAATATTGTGTGGTTTCTCTAATATTGGAAAACCAAAATAAAAATAATTTAGAGAACAAAATAAAAGGGAGATGGTAGGAAACAGGAAGGTAGACTTTGTAAATATGGGAAGGAGATCTGGGGAAGGGGAAAAAGGAAGGGACAGGGAAGTAAAAATGATCAAGATACAATATGTATATATTCCAGTTTCCCAAAATGAATGCAATTATTTATATGTCACAAATGTATACTACTAATAAAAAGAAAGCTACCTTACATTTCTGGGAATTCTAACTTTTTGCTTATGAATCCTGTAGTTCAATGCATCAGGAATTTTGGAATATTGCCAATAGCAATAATAGATAAATTATTAAAGACTTCTAACATCACAGGTTAGTTTTGCTTGTTTTCAGATATGACAAAATGAGCCACATCCTATATATATCACACATATCTGGCTCTTTTGATCAGCATTGTATCTATGACCTCATTTCTGTTGTTGGGTGCTATATAGTTGTCATAGTTCTATGGTGTTTATTTTGTGCCCACATCACAGATATTTAATCCTTTCTGATGGAATTAGGGTAGTTTTCAGTGTGGCTGCATTATAGTTAGCTCTGCTATAAACATCATTTACATGCCTTTTGGTAAATACAAACACTGGCTTACGTTTGGAAATATACTGTGGACTAGAGGTGCAAAGTTATCTGAAATGTGTGTGTGCAGCACTATTAGATGTCACCAAAAAATTCATAATCTCTGTACCAATTTATAGGCTTATTAGTAGGTCATGAGAATGCAGATACATTCTATATGATCAACAATTTGTGGTGCATCTTGTCTTTTTAATTTTGGTTATTTTAGTGAGTGTGTCTGCTAAGGTAATTGGAAAGAGAGAGAGAGAGGCAGACAGAGAGAGACAGAGAGAAAGAGAGAGTATGTTAGAAACAGATAAAAACTGAGAGAAAGAAATTGGGAAGCTCTATATTTTAAGGTAGCAGTTTGTTGTGACTTGTTTCTAGATGCCCCCTCAAAGCCTCATGCGGTGATATGTGGGGCATTTCAGAGGTGGTTGGATTTAGTGTGTGCTGCTGGGATTAAGGGTGTGTGATTACTAAATTAGTCCACTGATTGGTTTGCACATTTCTGGGTGTGAATAATGGGAAGGCTCACCATGGGTGTTAGCGCTACCCATTCTATAGTTGTGTAGCCTGGATAAAATATAAAGGACAGAAAGAGGACTGCTGTTGTTGCTTGCTTCTTTACTAATTAACTGCTTTGCTGCCTTTTGCCCAACATGGACTGTTTCTCCTCTGTGATGCCCCTCTGCCTTGGAGCCAGCCAACTATGAACCTTTACAAACTGTGAGCTAAATAAACCTTTCATCCCTTAGCTTGCAGGTGTCAAGTATTTTGTCTTAGCAATGAGAAATGTAACTTAGACATAGTTCAAGACTTTGACACTTTTTCTATTGAGGCACTATGAATATTTTATCCCACCTCATGGTTTGCCTCTTATTTGGATAGGGGGATTACTTAATTTTAATGTATTCTAATTTTTTCTCTTTCATTTTTGTGGTTCTATTCTATGTCCCATTTAAATAATGTATACCTTTTTCAAGATTCTGAAGTTCCTCTTTTATATTTTATTCTAAAAGCTCTACATTAACCTTTTCCCCTTTCACATTTAGCTCTAGAGTCTATATGGGACTTATTTTTGTATAATCTCTCTCTCTCTCTCTCTCTCTCTCTCTCTCTCTCTCTCTCACTTTTATTTTGTCCCATCAGCAGTACCTTATCCAAACTACTATAGCTTTATTTTGTTTTACTTTAAATTTCTTCCCTTTTATTAGCCCATGTTTGTAGTATATAATGATTACATTCAGTGTGGGGAATTGGTACATGTACTTAACACATCTTAATTCTCTTCCCTTTCCCTCCCCTCCTCCCCTTTTAGCCAGCATCAGATTCATTCATCTTATAAGTTCTTACAAAGTTAATTATCATTCATACAGATTAATAGCCAGACTAACAGGCCAAAAACATATAAAACATCTAAAACAATCAATAAAAGAGGTACAGATAAATGATAGTGCATCAGACTTGGTAGTAAATTCTCCAGCTCTACTTTTCCTCCTGACTGTCTTAACTATTCTTGGAACTTTACTATTTACATGTGAAGTTTAGAATTGGCATTGTTTTCTTGCAATCTATCCAACTTGGTATTGCATGTTTCTGTAGTTTTCACACCATTTTTTGTCCTCAAGCTCTGATCATGGGGTCAAACTTAAATCCAAGCTGTGAACCTGGGCCAGAACTAGCAAATGTTGCAGAGCATGAAGACACTACAGCTCACAGCTTAGCCTAGGAGAGTTTCTCCCCCTTTTCAGACCTGCAGTCTCTTTAATCCTTATTGTCTCTACACTGCTAGGGCTCCTCGTAGTCTATGATGGTAAAAACAGCCACGAACAAACAACTTTGCTCTACCTGGAATTTAAGCAATACTCATCTCATTTGATAGCAAATCCTTTCGGACAGAAATCTGCAAGTCACTGTCAAGTGCGCTCAGTTACAATGCTGTACACCCAATCCATCAGGAGACCTTGTAGTGTCACCACTTTTACCACTCTCACTGTGAGCTAAGCCATCACCGACTATTACCTGAAATATTTCCACAGTCCCCATCATCCCTCCATCATATATCTCACACTGGACTCCTTTTCTATCTTCTCTACCTACAGGATTTTAAAATCTTAGTAGTTTTTTTTTTTAAATCAGATATTACCATTCTTTATCCAAAATCTCCCAGTCAATCCCCATTTCTCCTCAGCATATAAACTAAACTTCTTTAATATACCATAAGACTCTAGGTAATCCGGAACCCTCTTCAAACCACCCCCCAGTGCTTTCCTTTTACTCATTTTTGGCAGTTGCATTAGCTACTCTGGTGTTTATTAAACAAGATTGATCCCTTTTAGCTACTGTCTTTTCTCTGTGCTTTTCGTACTCCCTGGGACACTAACCTTAATTTTATAAATGTTTCTTTTTAACTGTCACTTTGTGATTTTTTTTAAGTACTGAGAATTGAACTCAGGGCCTTTGGAAATGAGCTACATCCTTCGTATATTTAAATTTTGATTCAAGGTCTCCCTATGTCACTAAATTCCCTAAGCTGGGCTTGAACTTGTGATCCTTCTCCACCCCCTCCCAGAGTGCTGGGATTATAGGTGTGTGCCACCATACCTAGCTACTTTTTGAAATTTTAATTGATGTATGATAGTTGCACATATCTGTCAAGCCCAATGTGATATTTCAATATGTGTATACAATGTGTGATGATCAAGTCAGACAAACTGTGGTAATGAGCATATCCATCCCTTCAATATTTATCATTTCTCCATGTGAGGATCTTTTAACTACTTTGAAACATAAAGGAAAATTTTGTTAACTATAACCACCCTACTGTGATACAGAACAGTAGAACTTATTCCTCCGACCTAACTGCATTTTCCCACTTATTATCCATCCTCTCCCTGACCTCCCACAACTGCCCTTTTTTTCTAATAAAACAGGGTCATCCTGGGCAGTCTATTTTCAATTTCGGTGACAACAATATCCCCCACCTAGGCACGACTAATTCTCCTTATTCCACAGCACTTCTATGTCTTCCCGTAGTTCTTGTCACTTTACAACCTACTTCACACTTCTTTTATTCCTTCTTTATTTGATCTTGCACTATCACTCTTCTCTTTAATAAAAACTCCACATAGCTGGGGGATCATGTTTTACTTATAGATGCATTCCCACTCCCAGAATAGAGGCTGACACACAGGAAATAACCTGTAAATATTTGACAAATGAATGAATGAAAATATGTCATATATAATAATTGAAGTTTTTCAAATGCTCTATTTCAAAACACAGAGGTAAATCTAATATAGACAGGACCACATCATCTTAGTATATTGCTCTGATGACTCCATATATAACTTACTCTGAAATTCTTAGATTCAGAAAAGCTTTCAAATTCCATTCAATTTTTACTTTTCTAATTCATTTGAAAACAGACTGTGCACTTACTCTCTCCTCTGTAAAATTTACAGCTACTGGAAAAGGCAGTGTTCTCAAAAGTGAGCAAATCTTCAGAGGCTTCCTGTGTACTATTTACTGTTGAGAACTAGACAGAAGTATCTAAAGGTACAGGAGGAATGGACATTTGAAAATAATATAAATATGGTCTCTGAGTGATCTTGTCTTTGAGTTCTAGCCTTCTCTATCCTCTGGGCAAATCAGCAAACAGATGCTGATATTTTAATCTAATAACACAGAAATTATTCTGAAATGGTGAAATAAGATTTGCTGTTTGAAAAGAAAATTCTGTTAAAAGCTTAGGAAGAAAATTAAAGGTTAACCCTCTTCCTCCTGGTCAGTTAGTACATCTCAACCCATTCTCTTTACTCATTTCCATACCAGCCAGAGATAAAGGCCTTAGTTCCAGAAATTCCTAAGAAGCAAAATAGGTTAGATTAATTTCTGCTGGGGAGAAGATCAAGCAAATAAAAGTGAGAAAATACATACAGCTTCCAAACTTCAGTGGGCAAGCATGCACATCCATGGGAAAATCTTCCAAATGCATGGGGCACTCGGCATGAATCGTTAACCTGAAAGAAAAGAGAACAGAAGATGAAATAAACCTAAATAAGTCTCCATTCCCACTCAACAGCCCTCCTAAGAATAACAGGGAAGTTTGGTTGTTTAGGTTCACTAAGATTCATGTGTTTCTGAACACAAAAGATGGATTCAATAAATTAGATAGTGTCTCAAAGCCACATTTGGCGTTCATATTTTTACATCACATCTGAATCCTACCATACCACCTTTAGAAAAGAAACAAATATACTTGATGTGGCCGAACATTAATCTCTTAGCTATTCTTCAAGAAGGCTGGAAGCCCTAGGTCCTGACTCATTCATTCCTGACCACAGTTTAATTAGAGCTGAAATAATTCTTCTCAGCAGGCTATTATGTGAGTTAACCAATTTAAAGATTGCACTGAAGAGGAAAGATGTGTAGAAAGAATATGTTTACCCTGATAATGAACCGGCAGACACAAAAGATAACTCTGCTGTTCACAGAAATCACTACAGCTTTGTTAGAAGTAAGGTCTCTTGGAAAACACACACACACACACACACACACACACACACACACACACACACCACACAACACATACCCCAACTAACCATTTCAGAAAAAATTCATATGTATCAGAGGACATCAGAAAGCTCAGAGGTCCAGCCTGAAGAGCTCATGATCTTACATACGTGTAGAGAGAATACATCCGGGTTCCTCATTGGCAGGGGTAATCGGCCATGTTTACACACTAATTCCTTTGCACTAGCCTGTGTAAGTAATCTATTTCAAGGTTTACCCTCTGAATTCTCTCAAATTTTTGAAGCTCAGCTTTTCTTGGCTTAAAAAATAGTCTCTTACGTAGAAATGACATCTGCCCAGGAAAAATATGGAGTCCTTTGGAACCTAGCTCCAAGAAGCTATTTCTAGCTGGCATTTATACTGCCTGGCTCAGGTTGAACCGGCCCCTGCCATTCCATGGAAGTTCTAGTAAGTGAGAAGCTAGTTATGAATTACAGTACCATACATTCCCTTGCCGGTTTTCTCAATTGGGCAAGTACCTTCTGCTCATTCTTTTTTAGCATCCACAATTCCTACTTAGTAAAATATCAGTACAGCAGAGCGAGGAAAATATGTATCACATCTAGGAACAAGCAAAGGAGCCCATTGGGGAGATGTTCTGTGCGAGCAATAAAGGAAGGTCTGTGAGGCATCCATGTTCAGACTCTCCCTTTTTCACTCTCCTCTACGTGGGGGCTACTATAACAGGACCAGGTGGAGAGATCCTGGCCAAAGGATATCCCCAGGCCACCATTGCTTAACACTGACTGCTTCTCTTTGGTTGGTGAGAGAGAGATGCCGGAGGATATTTATTTATTGTCATATTATAGATATCCATGTGTCTAGGAAGGCACAGGGGGTTCCATGTGTAATTGTAATCATTATAGCGATCACTGCTAATAACCCATGAGATGTGCACAGCATGCTACAACTTCAAAAGCAGATTCACATTGCGCAGTCCCATTCATGTCTACCCCAACATTTGTAATGCAGGGATGCCAGGTGCCTGGAGCTCAGGATGTGATCTGCTCCATTTGCTCCCATGGCGACCCTGTGAGGGACCATAATGCAGGCATTATTATCATCTCCGTTTCAGAGACAAGAAGTTGAAGTGTTTTTCAGAGTTAAAGTGACTTTCTCAGAGTCGCACAACCTGCAGAACTGGGATGTAGATACAGAGTTCTTTCCATGTCAGCTGTCTTCTGCTCATCTGAGGGTAAATGTCTCTTTGGCTCCTCGGAAATCCTAGGCATGTGAAAGATGCTGCAATTACCTATGTTTTCCTTTGAGTGAACATTTCCCATGTGTAAGGTAATTATGGGTGCAGTCAGGGTTCTTTCTGTTGCAGGAAAAGCTTGAAGGGGTCTTAAAA